AGATATTAAGTAAATAGAGATATTTAAATTTAATTATAAGCTCGCTAAGAAGTATATATAGCTATTAATATATTAAATCGATTAATCTTCTCTATATATAAGTTATAATAAAAGAATATTCTCGAAATATTAAAATTCTTTTATTAAATATTATTTCTATTCTTTTTAAAAGTAAATAAAATAATATAATTATTAATACTTATCTTATTAAAACGCTTTCTCTTTTTAATAATAGTATTATTAATCTCTCTAATATTATAGATAGTAATAAAGATTAAAATAAGATTATTATTTTATTAAGCTATTATAAGAATATCGTTCTAAATTACTATAGTAAGAACTTTATATAAAATATTCTTAATAAAAATCTATTTTATCTCTATAAGTAATTTTAAAAAAATTATTTAATTTAGTTTTATAGTGCTATATGAAATAATTCTTAAAATTTTTAACTTTCTAGTAAGCTTTAATTTAATAAAATAATTATTTATAAAAAGAATAGAGTTAAGAGATAATATATTAATAATTAATTTAAATATTATAGCTAATATTTCTTTAAGATTTTTAACTTTTAATTTATTCTCGAGGTTTTATATAAATAAATATTATATATAATTATAAAGATAATTCTTATTATTAATTATAAAAAGCTTATATCTCTTTTTAATTAATTTATCTAAAATTATAATAGAATAATAAATATATCTTATCTTTTTAATTATATATTTATTAATTATATAATAAAAACTTAATATATATAATTTCTTTTAATTATTTTATATCTTATCGATAAATAAAAGAAGCTTTTTATATTATATAGATTTTTTATATCTACTCTTTTTAATAATAAAATTTTTCTCGATATCGAGATTTAAGTAATATATATATCTATAAAAAAGAATATAGTAATTTCGAGCTATTTATTTAGTAATAATCGAAGCTATTAAAGTAATATTATTATTTCTCTAATAATTATAAATAGTAGAAAAATAATAAATTTCTATATAGATAATAATAGCAATAAAAATTTTTAACTTTAAAATCTTAAAAGATTTTTAAATAAAATTAAGAATACTCTACTAAGAGATATATAAATTAATATTATTATAAAATATTTTTTATATAATAATAATTTATATAAAAGAAAATATTAAATATAAAATAATTTTTAAATCTTTTAAAAGGTAATTAATAGTTTTATAATATAAATTTTTTATTAATTAATACTCTGATAGTTTAGATATATCTTTAAGAAGCTTATTATATTTCTTAAGCTTATTCTTTCTTATTTTATCTTAAACTTCTTTTTTCTAACGCTTTAAGATTTAAACTACTTTAATCTTATTAGAAGTAAGTAGAGTAGCAATTTTAGCTATAGTAGATATAGTGGAATTATTAAGAAGAATAGGAAAGAGATACGTTATTGATATACGGAGAATTCTCGATTAATTTATTACCTCGGCCTGGGCGGTTATCGGATAGCATCTAAAAGCTTTTACAATATGACTCCTCGATTCCAAGCATGCGCCAGAAATAGGATCAAGCGCCAGCAATGTAGCAACCCCAATGATGCCCTCTATCAGACGAAAACAAGTTGATAGCACACAGACAGAATGACAATCCCAGTTCTCCTGGATCGTCCTAATCATCGCTCTTGTCTCAGCCCCAGCAACCCAATCGCCGCTTTCCCTCGAACAGCGCTGCTCGTCAGGTTATCTTCATCCTCGTAGCGTCTCTTTGATATCCGCTCGTCACTGCCAGGCGGGCTGCTGAGCTGTCGCTGAGCATTCTGTACCCTCTGCCGTGGCAATGCCGGTGTCCTGAAGACCTCTGGACTTTCTTTCTGAGCACCGTGGTCTGGCGAGCACGGGGGTGATGATAGATCTTGGGGATGGGCGATCATTCGTGCTGAAAAGGCTGTGGGAAGTAGGACCGGCGCTGGGAGTAGTTTGGGCAATGACGGCTGCTCATCTCGCTTCGTCGTGGACTCTCCAGATGGCAATGCCTCTTGCCGTGATATCCGGAGTTGCGACAGTGGAAGATTGATCTGGTTCGTCTGGACTTTGAAGTGAGCAAGCCGTAATCGGAGTCGCAGCGTCTCGGCATGCTGGAATGGTTTAGCAGAATCTAGGATTGCAATGGAAGTATTGATGGCTCACCTGACTTATCCTCGACCGCAATGGCTGTGTCACCTCTGTGGCTGCGGTCTGCTGAGAAATCATTGTATCGTCCGGATCAAAGTCGATGACGGAAGACATGGCAGAGTCCTTGTAGCTGTTTTGCGAGTCGCCTTCACCCATCTCTTCTGCTGGCTCTTCCGTGACATTGTCGACTTGTATTATGTGTGGGGCAGATGGATAGACAGACATGGCTCCCGATAGCGCTGGCTGAGTCTGGTAAAGAATGTAAGTTGGTGCTCCATGGAAACCAAGGGAAAGCGGGGCTCACCTGTCCCGACGAAACGTCTATCAGGGTAGTCTGAGGGCGGGCAGGTGACACTCGGACGCGAGATGTAGGTTGGGCAAATTCCGGCTCCTCCACTTCTCGTATCTGCCTTTTGTGACCTATCGATACCTTTCCCACGGTGGTCATGCTAGAGGGCGTGCCGAACGTGTTGACTGGGAGGTCAACAAGAGCGCGACGTTCAGGTGTAGACTGTGCCATGTCCAAAAGTCTGATTCTTTAGTCAGTCAACCAATGCTAGAGGGCAGGAAATTGCCTCCACTCGTCGGGGGTAGAAGCTCACTGTGAACAGGGTGAAAGAGCTTGGGGGGGGGAGAGCAGACGGAACTTGGAGCCAAGTGAGTGACTTGTCAACAGCTCATTGAGCAGCCTTGATGGTGGAATAAGTGATGTTGTCGAATGAATATAAGATAGGCGCCGCGTACAGCGCGGACGCGGGCTTTTTGAGTCTAAACAAGCACGTAAAAATGATGTTCTCGCGTTGTATATATTGATCTGAAGCTAAAGCTTCATTTCACGAGAATAACGGGCATACGGTAGATGTTCGGACCGATCTCCTTGGCACTGATGAGTCAGCTGGTCGTATCCTGTGCATGTCGTTTTACAGAATTATACAGCAACAGTGCTATGATCTTTTTTAATCGGCTATCAAGCGTCTCGGAATGATAATGGAAGAGTTCACACCGGATGTATCAGGTATTTAAGGATCTTGCTTTTACGATACCGGGCCCTACTGGCATGGTAGACTACAATTAAGCACTCGATTACCATGGTCTTATCCCAAGGATATACCGAAACGACAGCAAGCAAAGGCACATTCCGGGCTGTCAAACCTCCGGCTGACCAGTTACCGAACACTTCTTGTTTGTTCGGGTTGAAATTCTTGAACGCATGTGAAGCCAAAGATACCGGCGATCGAGACTGCTATTTTCCAGATTAGCAATCTTGTAGCAAGGTTCAATGCCACTGTTCTATTATTATTGTCTGCCGCCAGGCTGGTGTCTCTTGTTGCCTGTGTCACTGCCAAAGAACAGCCTCGTTGACGCGAGGATGTACTCATTATGAGGGAGGCCATTGTCCAGGAAAATATACTTATGCCCAGGGGAGGCGACCATTATAATTGATCGAGACCGTAGCCTCCATTCCACTCAGACCTTGTCAATCGTATTAGTCTGATGGCTTGGTGCCATTGCTCGTGTGTGACTCTCCACTACTCGAAGCCTTTGTACGAGGCCGCTCGAAAAATGCTAGCAACTCTATCTCTGCCTTCTTCGTGATCTCGCATGTGAGAAGATCACTGGGACCGCTCATTATGCATTGCCATATACTCTGCAAACGTTTTCCCGGAATTTATTTTCTTCCCACGAAAATACTCCGATCCGTTGAAGTTATTTTGATGCGTCATGATCTGGTTGGCCGAACACTTCCGTTCCCCGCTGCAGTCTACTGTGGGTCATGTACGTTGCAATTTTGGTTATTACCAGACTGCCTCGGAGCCATATCCAAAGTGCTAGACCGCAGCAGACAACGCTCCCAACAGCAATACCGGTCCAACCGGGAACATCAAAGATACGCCGAGTGCCATTTGAGCACCCTCGAACTGCTCCGCGTGCATTCAGCATCAAGTTGGCACAAGATCAGCAGCCCCCATTAGTTTCCAAGTCCACGAGTAGATCCAAGTTCCACGAATCATTGTCGCAAAGTTCTCCCACGGTCCATCCAGGGTTCACGAAGGATCGTTCAGCTAGAGACACTTACACAATTACATGATGCAACTTTTTCAAGAGCTGATACAGAACAACGCCATCGCGGAGGAATCGCCCGAATCGCGCAAACTCGAGGTATCCAAACCACTGCCTGAGCGAATGAAGGCAAAGAGACTTATTAAGCACAGTGAGTAAAGCGTTTGCGATTTTGCTGGTTACTCTTGCGGATGATAGGGAGGTTTAGCAACCTTTTCCCTGAGCGAATTTCGGAATCCAGAAGCAGTAATCACTCAACGTTATTACTACAGATGATCAAGGTCAGCGTCGTCGGTTGCTCGCCAAATTGAATTGCGTCGATTTTCTGATTAACCCGATACAGACTATAGACTCTGGAATATTTACTCTGAAACCCTGCAAGTCGGACGAAGTTGTGACGATTGTGTGCATCGTCTGAGCACTTTTCTCGACAGCGGACAATGAGGAAGCTCTATAGCTCAGACTGATAGGGCTCAACTGTGAGTCGCCATTACTGGCTGTTTTCTTGTTGTTGTTGTTGTTATTTGAGAATGTGTATTGCCAACGTTGAATCTAGTCTATCTCTACTTTTCCTTGGCTGCGAGAGTAGGCACGCACAAGAGCAATGCAACCACCGACGGCCTGCGTGTTCTTCATCTTTTGCACACGACGCTTTAGCTGCCTCGCCATACCGGTAGTAGCTCTAGAAGCGCGCTCGTGAGGTTCAAATACTTTCTTCTCTGCCTGCACTGCGTCAACGACCGCTTGACATCAAAGCCTCTGAACAACCCGTCGCTCACTCACCCGCTCCTCCAGTTACTCCTTCACTGCCCCAGAAATCGGATCGTCCGGCCCAAGCAACGATACCTTGATCCGATCCTCCGGCCCCATGAGCATCCACCCGCCCGTCTTCTCCTCCCCGTACGACGAGGCCCTCCGACACAGTGTGCTGAGATGGTCCAACGCCGCCGTCACTTCCACCCAGCTGCTCACCACCGCCTCGCGCGCCTCGAGCTCCACCTGCGCGCGGCACCGCCCGAAGCGCTCCATCGCGGGCAGCCGGTAGCCGTTGTTGGCGCCGTTATTGTGGAAGGGGGCGCTGTCGTGGGTGGTGGGGAGGGCGCGGATGGCGCGGTTGCATTCGGGCCAGGAGGGGCGGTGGTCGGATTTGAAGAAGCCGGGTTTGCTGCATTTGTGGGTTGGGGGCGTGTAGCTGATGTTGTTGTTGGTGTTGGTTTTGTAGATGGTGATGGTGTTGTTGTTGTTGAATTTTGCGGGTACGGTTGATGTTGTGGGGGTTGAGAGGACGAGAGGTATTAGTAGCAGGCTTATCCACTTGGAGAACATTCTCGTCTTCGGAGTCAATTGGCTTGGAGGAGATCGTACTGATTTCCTTAATCGAGAGAAAAGGAAGATTTGTGCATGAGATCAACGGTGTCGACTGCCTTTATCGGCCGGATGGAAAAAGTTAAACCGTATCACGATGGTATGCTGGTTGGCGCATAGTAGAGTGTTTGTCGGCTGAGTGATTAATCGTCTGCCGCGCTGCTATGTATGGTGAGTTGGAAAGGCGCACCATATGCTATCTACCGTATGCGAATCATACTGCGTTGCGTCCTTGCGCGGCTACACGCGTGCCGTTGTATATCGTAATAGCGATGAGTTGTGCGCTTCCAGGTATCGAAAGGTACTGGTGCTGCGAGAAACAAGCATTGTGCTGCAGGTAGACTAGCAACAACAGCTCTAGCTAGATCACCTTTTTGGTCTGGATCCTTTGCGCAAGTACAAGATTCGTATAGAAGAGCAGTCCCGTTTACGTAATGAACTTGAGGCTAGAGAATTTGCTCAACGAAGGATACTGCAAAGCGGCAACGCTGTTCGGAGGCCTTTAGGACATGACTGGAGAGATTCATTTGGAACAGTGGCTTCTTCAAAATTGGACAAATTTCGATATATAAGAAACAACTTTCTTTCTCTTACGTTCTTTCCCGGTATCACCTGAATCGTTTTTCTTCCCGTCTTTCTTTCTATTGTGCTTCCCAACATCATGGCAAGCGAAGTTGGCTTTGGAGGAGTGTTATTCGATAAGTCTCCAAATGCGATATTGTGCTCCTCCCAAACTGTCTCCGTGTGTCTTCATAATAGTTCTGTATTCGGTCAGAGGCCAATTTGAGCCATCGCGGTCGCACATTTCATTGAGCTCTTTCGAGAGCTCCTCCACGGACGTACTAATGTCTGAAGAAGAATCCCGTCCGCTGAGTCCTACCACTTACATTTTGGGGCAGGATGTCCCCGGCCTTTATTCCGTTGAGGAGAGTTTCCAAAGTATTAGTAGATTTCCACTCCTTATGGCCAACTCCAACATTTGCTTGGTTCATCCCTAGTCGCAGAAAAGTGAAAAGCTGATCCAGCCTATTCTATCGGGTCCGCGCTTTTCGAAATCGATATGAAACAATAATATCCAAGCCATCGTTGGTACCAAGTACAAAGGAAGCCGACTTGGTTTCAAGCTTCTTTCCTTTTGATGAAACGAAGATGACCTCGAGAATTGTAACAGTTCAGCCAGCGTCACCCGAAGCAACTTGAGGAGAATATGGGCAAATTTTTGATGACGGTGGGGGGAAACGATCTGAGTGGAAGAAATTGAGTCATGTTCTGAATTATCCTGAAAAAGTAAGGGTGATATAGTCTGCGGCTCCATGGACTGGCTGCACGGCCCCGAGACGGATTTGGAGCATTTACCTGCACCCTCTACGGACGATATTGCCTGTGCGGATGGTTGAGCTGCATTGACTGCTAGTTGACGAGCGAAATTATGAGGCCGACTAGCGCAGTATTTTGTCCCGCAGAGGGCGTGATGCTTTGCCAGAAAAGGGAACAGATATTAGGCCAGGAAGTGAGAGAGATGGCCAGGAGCAATGAATAGAGGTAGGGACAAGCTGTCTCGCAAATCAGAAGCACTGGCTCTACAAAGCGGCGCTGCAGATCGATGAGATGGCATGAACGACGAGTTTTCAATGACAGGAACACAAAAGCAAACATCGGTCAAGAAATCCAGCATACCAACCGTAAATGGGGGATGCATTTCGCGACATGCAAGCCTCCATCACAGTGGCGGACTTCACTAAAGGCTTCACCGCAGACTTCACTACAGCAATAACAGCAAGGTGGAAGAGGTAAAAGAGATAGAAGAGACAAGAATCTAGTAGAAGAACAGGTAGTAGAAGCAGAGGTAGTTGAAGAAGAGGTAATAACGATTTTTTCAAGACATAGTAGGCCGATAAGACCCCAAAAATAGTGATTTAGACTCTCCGAACCCGAAGCCTTGATAGCAATAAAAGACCAGTGTTATTATACTAGTTTGCCAAACAATTCTGGTGAGAGATAGGCATTTTGGTATTGCATCGGACTTATCGGATTTTAAAGTGTGTTACATGGGGGTGGATTATACTTTAGGCCGGCTTTAAGATTATCTTGGCGCACGGAGATCTACCGAGGGCCCGAAGAGCCTCCAATTCGTTACTGTAAGGACGCGCTCTCTCATTCTTTTCTTCTTCCTGCCGCCCACATCAGTAACAGTGCGCCTCGGGTTTCAGCAGAGAGAGCGGTGTCGAAGCTGAGACTGCACTCTGTCTGAGCCAGTCCATTCCAGAATCCTGGCCGTTGCCCGGAAATGGAGAGACAAGCATCAGGGTTGAGACACCTTCCTAATGGAGAGAATCGAATGTGCCTCATGTTGTCATGGTGCATTGACATCTGCGATAGAGCGTCCGATCTCCAATAACAACAAGTCGTCCCTGTCTGAACAAACGCAGTATGAGATCAATTCAACACTACATATTCAGTTCTATGGAACATCAGGCAGGTCATGGGACCGTGAAGGCAGTACCTTCCTTTTTTGGCTGCGTCTTCGTCTATGGAGTCGGGCTATCACACGGAACCATGTCCTGTGCCAAGACGGTCAGAAGCGAAACCCTGCCATCATCTTGGAGTGACACCAGCCGTATCCCCCCACCTCATATACTCCTCCAGAGTACCCTTCTTCAAGTATCCTCATCCTCATATCCATATCTTCTCTACAGTACCTGGCCTTCAAGTATTGGTATTCCTTAGCATCATCATGCGTGCTGCGTTCTATCTCTCGGCGTTCCTATGCGCATCATCAGCTGCAGCTTCTGGTGCCATCGATGCCTTCAAACGAGTTGACAGAGTCCTAGAGCCTAGAGTCGCCGCCCAGCACAATGCACCGGCCCATAGCCATGAGCGACTGCAGAAGCGTGCATCGCCCTACCTGAACAACGTCACACAGAGTGAGTGCACCGCAGATGTGAATCCCACGCCAGATGCTAATTAGGCACCAGAGTTTGTTGTGGACGGTACAAAGATCCCAGATGTTGATGTATGTTGGATCCAGAGTAAAATGGCGCTATAGGCTTACAGGCAGACAGTTCGATGTTGGCGAGTCCTATGCTGGATTGGTACCAATCTCGTCCGCCGCCAACGAGACTCGGAAGCTCTTCTTTTGGTGTGTCTGATCCAAAAACATGCTTCGTACCACGCTTACCATCGACATACAGGTTCTTTCCCTCCACAAACCCAGCTGCTACAGACGAGATTGTGATCTGGTAAGGCAGCCGAGCTCATTCGTTCTGGTTCGCTTGCTGATCCATCGCTTCTAGGTTCAATGGTGGCCCTGGCTGCAGCTCCCTCAGTGGTCTCCTCACCGAGAATGGTCCCTTCACGTGGCAAGCCGGCACATTTGCTCCTACCAAAAACCCCTATACCTGGGTGAATTTGACGAACATGCTCTGGGTTGAGCAACCTGTGGGTGTAGGGTTTACCCAAGGAACCCCAGACATCGTGAATGAGGTGGAACTTGCGCAACAATTCATGGGATTCTACAAGAACTGGGTGGACGATTTTCAAGTCCAAGGCAGCAAGGTCTACGTCACGGGTGAAAGCTACGGAGGGTACTACGTACCTTACGTAGCAGACGCTTTCATCAATGCCAATGACACGACGTACTACAATCTTGCGGGAGTGGCAATCAATGATCCTATTCTAGGTGATGGAGACCTGCAGCAGGAGGGTGGGTCGCTCACATCATGCTTTGGGGCATCTCTGCTGACTCGGTCTTAGTACCCGTCGTGCCATATCTGAATCATTGGGAAAACACGTTCGCCCTGAACGAGAGCTTCATGGCTGCAGCCCAAGCGCGTGCCGACTCTTGCGGATACACCGACTACATCAACACCTACCTCACCTTCCCACCACCTGGTCCGTTGCCATTGCCAAAAAACAGCTCCCTGGACTGTGACCTCTTCGACGATGTATTTTCTGCGGCGCTTGAAGTCAACCCATGTTTCAACATCTACCATATCCTCGACACTTGCCCTCACCTTTTCAACGTTCTTGGCATTGTCAACCAAGGTGACTATTTCCCTCCAGGAGCGCAAGTTTACTTCAACCGCAGTGATGTGCAAGCCGCTATCAATGCGCCTGTGGGCACAAATTGGATGCAATGCACAGACATCAACGTCTTTGAAGGTCCTTACGGCAACAATTCTCAAGGTGACGAGTCACTGGGGCCAGCTCAAGATGGAGTTCTGGCACATGTTATTGAGTCCACAAACAATACCATCATTGGTGTCGGAGGCTTGGATTATTTGCTTCCAATTAATGGTACCCTGTTGGCGCTTCAGAACATGACGTGGAATGGGCTTCAAGGATTTCAGACCCCGCCGTCAAACAGCTTCTTCGTTCCCTACCATCCGGAGTATAATCTGGGTTTCCTTGCGGGAGCCGGTGACCTTGGCCAATGGGTAACTGAACGAGGCTTGACCTTCTACCATGTTGACCTGGCAGGACACGGTATGTAACTCTGCGCTCTTGAACATAATGGGAAACCCGCTGACGTTTCCCAGAATTGCCTGGGTATACACCAGGGGCTGCGTATAGAGTTGTCGAGTTGATGCTGGGAAGAATTTCGTCCTTGAGCCAGACAGGAGATTTCACCACCCAGACGGGCAACTACACAGGCACGGTCCCCCTCACGAAGCGCGAAGGGTATGGACGCATGGTGAATCGTGGACCGAAGGCTTATGCCTGATTGCAGCATTGAAGATAGTATTGAAGCTTGCCTAGATGAATCACACAGGTCTAAATGCGTACATTGCTCTCGATATTGCTAGACGTCAGAACGAATCACAATTGACAAAGCAGGCCGACTACTCACGTCACACCCAATCTCATGTTTCTATGTAGGTCTTGATTTTGTGTTGCTCGTTGCACCTGCAGCTCTCTGTACGAGGATCCACGATGGAGACTTTTATACTTTCGGCTCATTACCTTCAGTGGCTAAGTGTTTAATAGCTCGGGGAAGATGGAGCACTTGAAAGCTGAAGGAGGCGCTGAAGGTGGAAGTTCTTGCACCTGTGGTGGTTTCATTTTGCACACTGGCTTAAGGTCACTCTATTCTTGAAAGTCACTTTTTTCTATTTGGCCATCTTTCCTTCAGCTACTTCACAATCTGACTTCGTTGGCTGCCCAATCTCATGCCCGACCGCAACAATTTTTAGTACCTCCAGGGCTGGGCGACACCTCGGGTTTTTTTGGCGCTTTCGAAACTTACACCGTGAACTGTCACAAACCGCTTTACGGCTTTAGGCTCCCCATTCTATGGTAATCATACTCCTGCGTGTTCCGCGCCATTATTTGTGACGCTTCATGGCGTCTATTTGGTGGAACTTGCGGCTGTCCAAACCATGTCAAGTCGACTCAAATCTTCTCATAACGGTTTCTGGCGGCTCTAAGCCACATTCATAATTTCAACACGCCAAGTTGTGGAAGAGACTTGAGTTGCAGCTTTGGATTATATATACGTTCCTCCCGAATGTTTCGCGTCCTTTCGTTGGAATGACTGTTTCTCACCTTCGTTGTCAGTACGGAAAGGCAGCTTTACTCGTCGAATCCTCTTCCCGCCACCCAAATTCCCACATCCCCAGTCCCCTTTAAACCTCCAACATGCATTTCTCCCTCACCACCACCCTCCCCCTCCTCTCCACCCTCCTCTCCCTCACCACCGCCCAACAAAGCACCGACGCCAACGGCTGCTCCACCTTCGAGCCGACCTCAGCCTTCCAAATCTACTCCGATCTTCCCGACCTCTCGGTCGACCTCACGATCCCAAACTACAGCAACCTGACCAACGGCACCACCAACAGCACGCGCCGCCTCTCCTCCCGCAGCAAGGCAAGGTCCCGACCCAAGTCCCGCCGCTCCGCCCACATCCCCTTCACCTTCTACGTCTCCCAGGACGCCGGCAACACCAACCAGCAAGACCTCGTCGTCGCCTTCGCGGGGCTCCCCTGCGGCGGGCCCGGCCCCTTCAGCTTCGAGTTCAACTTCCAGCCCCAGTCGGCCTACTTCGCCCAGGGCCAGGGCCAGATCAACATGTTCCGCGTCGACACGCTCGCCCTGGGGGATGCGCCCACCTGGAACGACATCGAGCCGCTGACGGGCAGCCTGGTGGGCACGTTCGAGTTGCCGGCGGTGGGGAGCGAGGAGCCGGCTTTGCTGTTCCTCAATCAGTTGGTCTGTCAGGATCAGTTGGTGTTGCGGTTTGGCATCTCGAGGTATAGCGATGAGGGGGGGAGTGTGGCGTACATCAATGCCGGGGGGATGGGGTTGAGGGAGAGGAATGGGTGTTAGAGGGGAGGCAGTGGTGTCGTTGGGGTGTAATTGCAGGGGGGAGGAGGAGTCGGTTGGGAAGGGACGATTCTTTCCGTGGGGGAGGGGAGGGGATGGGGGCCTTGGTGCACTTTCCTCGATTGCTGACGTGCACGGTGTTTGGTTTTCTCTCGGCGCTGGAACCGGCGTTGAAAAGTTGGGAGAGCATGGAGTCTGTGAAGAAATAAAAGTGGGAAGGCCGCTTCCTTCGTATCACTTGCCCTCTATCTTCGTATCGATTTTACGTCCGCTGGTTGGTAGTGACGTATAATGACGTTCTTTCGACATGAGTCGGTCATTTCAATGATATGGTCGACGTCGTATAGGGGGTCCGCCAAAGTCTTTAGTATGTGGTTCGAAGCTAGCGGGCAACTTTCCTCCCGACGCCAACCTGACCTGTGCCATCTTTTTGTCTTTATCTGTGTTGGTTATTTTGACCTCATTCTTAATTCCAATAGTGAGAAGACCTTGCGAATCCATCTAAGGTCTCGAAAGACAGGTGAGACACAACATCCCAACTGCTCTAGTCAGTCAGGAGGATGACTGGGAAACAATACTATCACTTATGGCGCAAAAGTCCGTCAACTGCAAAGAGGGTGACTACATAGTACCAGAGTTCTCGGTAGGGTACGGTGATAAAGGCAGTGATAGTGACAATGACAGTTGAAGCAGTGGCCAACATATTCAATTGCTGAGAATGTTGTTGGAGAGTATATGGCGCTGGTACAATGCTGTTACGGTGCTTCTTATTCCCGTGAGTTGGTAACCGTCCAGGCGCGGGACGGGGGACATTGGCTTAGTCAGCCACTCCGAAGTAGAATAGCGTCCGCGCTTATATTATAATTGCGAAATCTTCGCGTAAGATTTAAATAACTTATAAATATTAAATATTTAATATTTAATAATACTTTATAAAGATCTCGAAAATTTCGAAGTATTTTTAAGATTATTTTAAGTTAATTATAGAACTATCGTAAAAATTTCGAATTATCTTTTACAATCTCGAAAATTTCGAGTTAATAATAATAGAAATATCGCGAAAATTTCGAATTATCTTTTAGAGTCTCGAAATTTTCGAAATTTTTAAATTAATAATAGTATTTTTAAAATTATTTTAAATTAATTATAGAACTATCGCGAAAATTTCGAATTATCTTTTAAAGTCTCGAAAATTTCGAGTTAATAATAATAGAATTATCGCGAAAATTTCGAATTATTTTTTAGAGTCTTAAAATTTTCGAAATTTTTAATTTAATAATAGTATTTTCGAAATTATTTTAAATTTATTATAGAATTATCGCGAAAATTTCGAATTATCTCTTAGAGTCTTAAAATTTTCGAATTTTTTTAATTAATAATAGAATTATTACGAAAATTTCGAATTAATAATAATAGAATTAATTCGAAAATTTTAAGATAATTATAGAGTTATAACGAAGACTTTAAAATATTTTTAAATTTCGAAAATTTCGAGTTTTTATAAAAAAATCTCGAATTTTTCGAATTATTTATAAATTTATTATAAAAAAATAATATATAATAAAAATATAATAAATAACTAAGTTATTAAATTTATTTAAAAAAATAACGTTTATAATATCTATAAATTATAGATATTTTTAAAAATAGAATATTTTATATAATAGATTATAGTATTTTATATAATAAAGAAAAAAAGCTTTAAAAAATAAAATAAAAATAAAAAAGTAGATTTAATTTTATAGTATCTTTATATATATTAAAATAAAAGAAAATAATAAATAAATAAAAATAAAAAATAAATAAAAATAAGTAAGTATATTAATAAAGAAAAGAATTCTTATTTTATATATATATTAATATATAGAATAGTTATTAATATTTACTTCTAGAGAATTTAAATTTTTTTTATCTCGAAATTATTATTCGAAATTATCGTTTAAAATTATCGTTTGAAATTATCGTTTGAAATTATCGTTCGAAATTATCATTCGAAATTATCGTTTAAAATTATTATTCGAAATTATCGAAATTATAGCTACGATAATTTCGAATAAAAAATCGAAAATTTCGAGTCGCTTAAATTTTTGTTAAGGGTAACCGTTCGGAACGGTTATCAGACCACTTTAAATTTAAGTTTATCGTATTCACTAGCTAAATTTATATGTGTAGAGAATATATTTAATATAAGTTAATAACCATTCTCTTAGTAGTGATAATCGTTTTCAAAACTCGAATTTTTCGCTATAATAAATATTCTCGAAAAATTCGCGGCGCTTCGCGTTTTTATAAATTGTTAGCAATACCCCTACGGGGGTCCCTATTTAGGTCCAAATAGGGGTGTCTGGCTTCGGGGCTCGATGACGAGCCCCCTACGGGGGCCCTACGAAGGCCCTACGGAGGGTGCTGTTATAATATTCTTCTATTTGTAAAGCGAAAATATCGAATTTCGATATTTGATGATAGGGGGTAGGGCTTAGCGTAGGGCTTAGCGTGGGTCACCGTCCAGGCGCGCCTGGACGGTTACCAGACCCCGTTGAAGGCCACATTCTCTGAGAAGCGGAAGCGAAAGCTAGCCATACGCTCTACCCATATGTGGCTAGTGAAGGCACTAGACCCAGTGAGAGTAGCGCGATGAACTCAGAGTCCTTGAGACATCGTCGAACATCCAACCATTGTATGAATCTTATCTCGGTGAGCTCACACGAACTTGCCATGCGCATTAGTACCCACGTCATTGATAGCATCAAGATCTCCTCCTGTCATCAGCGTCCTTGGCCAAAGTACAAGGAGAGGAATGTCGAATATGATGGGCTGCGGGAGCCAACTTCGGGCAAATTACCGAATCATACCCCGAAAGTACGAATCCTTACCGAATCATACCCCTAATTACCGAATCATACCCCTACACCAAATCACACCCAAATATGATTTGGGGGTATGATTCGGTAATTTGTCATTGCTTGGGGTATGATTTGGTAAGTTTTCAAAGTAGCCTTAAAATATGAGAGGGTTTAATGAAGGTAATGGTAGTGGTAGACTTACTGAGCGTCTGGAAGTAGTCGTCGACTTGATTATTGATGATGGTGGTATAATTTACGCTGCGCAACGGGGCGGGGTTTGACCCCCGAAGCTTACCCCGCCTCGCCCCGCTGCGCAGCCTCGGCAGCGTAGTGGTATTGTTAGGAATTATTCCTTCGGGGGCCCTACGGGCCCCTACGGGGCCTACGGGACCCGAATAGGGGTGTCTGCAGCGTGAAGTGCGGACACCCCCGGGCTCGAAATTTCGCCCACTCGGCTTTCGTCTGATGTTTTTAGGCTGATAGAATTTGTTAGAATATCGGGTATATGATGTGTAGAACGGATGGATTAATTCTCCAGACCTCTCCGGGGCCAAGTCCTAAATACAGTACAAATTAGGTGGCTAATCAACACGGTGGCTAGAAAGCGTGGGGACCAAATTCGACATACCCCTACATCAAATTTCGACAGAGTTCTCATCAAATACGGTCGGAGAAACTCCCTTCTTTCTATGATCGAATAAGCCAGATCGCGGATTATCTCCTTCGTAGTTTGAGGCCACTTTGACAACTTACCAAATCATACCCCAAGCAATGACAAATTACCGAATCATACCCCATATTTGGGTGTGATTTGGTGTAGGGGTATGATTCGGTAATTAGGGGTATGATTCGGTAAGGATCCATACTTTTGGGGTATGAATTAGTAATTCGCCCGATCACACGTACAGTAGGATTACGCCAATGGTCTATTGATTATGTGAGTGCTGATATAGTACCGATGACACCATGCACGTTCTCGGAGGATTGATTCCCAATTCTGCTCTGATTCATCCCTACCATTGGCAGCCTCAAAAGTTCTCAGAACGGGGGGTTGGGGTTTTCTGCTGTCCCGACTCACATTGCCGCTATTGGCAACCTGCCTGTTTTTTTTAGAGTCTGAATAGAGAACGGAAAATTGAGGATTACTTGAGTCACTGCAAAGCTTGTTCGCGATAGTTTCACCCTTCACCTGGTACAAAGAACGGCTTTCTTGCAAGACTTGGCCATAAAATACGAGCAATATTTTATTGATGTTTGAACGAAAAGTGCATTATCTCGTCGACTCATAAAACCTGTTCAGAAATTTGCAGCACGGTGGAATCACTGAGCTCACTAAATACTCTTCTCTACTATTATAGTAGCCACTTTACAGGTCAGATCGCTCAACATGGCTAACCCAGCCGGCAAGGCCATTCTTACCGTCCTTGGCGTATTCGGCTCAATGGTAGGCTTCACTGGCTTCCTTCCCAATGAGTTTCCCAACAAAGAGATCCACATGGTCGATCGACAGCAGCAAGCCCAAGACTCAATGGTACGCGTCGTAGTAGGACTCAACGGCGTCGAAGGGCTCACGGAGGCTGATGGACCCATACCAGCCGTCGTCGCTTTCGACGAAAACAAAAGTTACATTGGCGCCTCGGATTGGAGTCGAGGGTTCGGGTCTATCGGGTCTGGTGGATATGCTGATATCTGGGTTTCGCAGAAGAAGGGCCCGGGCAGACAGGCAACGTATCTGCAACTGCTAGGCCATAACGATGGTATCTGTATTGCCTATATTTCTCAAGTCTGGGGAGATGGAACGCCGAGAGGATGGTTGGGAGACATGGGCCAAGCTTGCGGGAAGCGATATTACTATTCGAATATTGTTGTCGGAGACAATGATCACCGCCCATGTAAGTATTGTAACTGGAAAACCTGTGGACGTCCTTAGACAAGTCTGGAAGTTACACCAGAAGCTTACACATTTTAGACTGCACCTGGCTGAATCGAGATGCCGGTAGCGACGGTAGCGACAAGCTCGAACACATTGAAGCAGCGGCAATGCAGATTCACATGGAGGTACCTCGTTCCCTGTCCTAATACTTCAGACAAGCGTTGACCTCTTGTCATAGGCCTTCACCAACTTTACTGAAGACTACAACACCGACCCCGGTTTCTACTGTCGGGAACCCGCCATGCTCTTCCGCCGCAAATTCAGCTACGAACTTTACCACGATGATTACGAATTCGACGGACTACCTGACCCGGGAAGGATACACTTCTGGTATGCCAAAGACGCAGACTCCATGCCTCGCAAGAAGCGCAGTCTACCGCCTCGACGCTCCTCAAAATTCGATGGCCGTCTCATCACGAGTGTCCACGGGCGGCATAGCGCCCGTCAACTTTGCGAGAATGACCACTCTTACGGTCCGGACTTTGTCTCGTATGCGGAGAACGTGTTCTGCGATATGGGAACGAGGGAACACTGGCCGCTCTGTGATGGGCCGGTCGAGGATGAGTGTTACAGCATGGCCACGCGTTCTCTGGTCACGCGCTCGGGATACGTGAAGAGGAGCCACGTCCGTGTGGAGAGCTGGGGTTAAAATGCGGGATCATTAGTCTCAGCTGTTGAGGCACATATAGCCTCGCCCGTGCTCCGATGAGCATGTCCCGTCCCATACGGACTATGTATACAATTCAGACCACCTGTATCATCGCGCAACCACGATCAAACGATCATGGAGCATGCTTCAGCAATCACCACTTTCTGCCATTACTTCCCGTCCCCGTCTTCTCCTCGAGCCTATCGCTTCACCGCCTGCTCGTCCCTAGCTTTTCTCTGGCTGCGCGCAAGATGTCTCCGGCAACGCATCGCTCTTCCCACCAAGCGTGACTTCTGTCCCAATCCCCATGTTTTGGCCAACATACACGCGTGCATCAGCGAGGCGCACCGGGGTCGCCACGGGCGTATCCACCGCTCCCTCTTTGCCCAATCGCTCAGGTTGTGAGTCACGAGTTCTACGTACTCTCGTCGCCACCCCACCGATAGGGATGCGATCGTGGCCACAGTATCTACGAGTCGGAGAGAGGACGTCCAGGCTCCGATCCTGACTTCTGTGCGTCCTGCTTCCTGGCGAACTCAACATCCGTGGCTCCCGTTGTATGTACTCCGGCCAATTGCTGCACCTGCGGTCTTCATTTTGTAAATCGTGCTTCGATGCATCGACGACCCAATGACGCCGCCTCGACGGAATGGTTTTCGCGACTCGGCTTCGCTTGGTTCGCGCCAGGCGGGGTTGGGAGGTCGGTGTGAGATTTTGTTCAGGAGAGAGAGGGAGGCAGGCAGGCAGGATGTTTCATCGTTGGGAAATTGTCATGGTGCGTTAAGAGATGGGGTTGGATGAGGTACGTTGGCTTGTGTTTTCTGGTCCCGGGATCATGAGCTTATGCAGCTGGCTGGAAACTCATGGAAGCATTGAATTCTTAAACTTTTTTGCACTATGTACAGCGAGGTGGGAGTCTTCTACGGTCGGTCCTACGGGCATGGGTGGCGGTTTTGCAGGGTGGCACAGGGCTTCTTGAGCAACGGTGACCGGGCTCGAGGCCTATGTATCGAACGGTGATGGAGCAAGGTGACTACAGGCGCAATCTTGCACGACGAGATGATACCGTAACGCATTGTTCTACTGACTGCTACTTCTGGCTTCTATTTCAGCGCTTTGGCCACGTTCCATGCCTCGACGACCTCGAGCACGGAGTCTATGTGCTTGAGGTCTAATCGTTGGTTCTGCTCGCGCGCAATGCTTCGCGCGCTCCCGACGGCGTGTTTGATCTGTTGAGCATGGTCAGTGTCTATCTTTGGTGGGGATGCTCGGCGGCGATAAAGGGTAACGTACTTGGCGCCCATTCATGACGTGTTCGCCGAGCTTCGATACCTCCGGGTCGGTGATAAGCCCGTCGGCTCGCTCGATGAACATTTTCCAGATGGTCCGCCGCGCGGCGACGTCGAGGTCCGGGTAGTGGATGGAGAAGTGGATCCGACCTGGATGAGCGTCGCTGTCAGTCCACAATGGTTGCCGAAAGTGCAACGGAAGGTACTCACTCTCGAAAGCCGGATCGCAGTCCCCAATGCGATTGGTGGTGAGAATCAATATCCCTTGAAAGTACTCCAGTTGCCGTAAGAAAATCGAGACTAGAGCATTTCGAGCCACATCTTTGGTGTCGCGCTCCTGGAGAAATACGTCCGCTTCGTCTAATAGTAGCACAGCGGACCATCGATGCGATAATTCTAGGATCAGGGTCAATTGCTTGTCCACCTTTTCCACATCAGTGCCCAGTTCGCCAGCGCTAACGGCATACAATGGCCTTTTGGTGACTTCCGCCACAGCTTCTGCCGTCAAGGTCTTACCACATCCAGGACGACCACTCAGGAGACCGATGAGACCGAGACCTTTCCCTTGAATGACGTCGTCGTAGCCGGTACCTTTGGAGGAATGCTGCTTGACAAGCGAATGGATTAGAGTCTTCTGCTTCGCACCAATGACGAGCGAATGGAATGGCTCGTCGCTCCAGACGACTTCTTGCAAGCGAGAGACGGGGAATCCGCCCCATTTCTTGTCACCGAACCCAAAGCCACCCACGAAAGGCGCACAGATAAGATGTTGGTCGTCTGAGAGTTGCGTTCTGTCGAGCGTCGACTGCACGGTTGGAATGCAAGCCCAGTTTGGGTTGTACGTGCGGAAGGAGGCAGTGTCGATCATTGCGCGGCCGTGGGTGCTGAATTTGAAGCGGTTTACCTCGTAGCGGTCGTTCATGGTTTCTCGCATGGCCGGCCCGCTGGTCTCCCAATATGTGTTGCCAATCATACGTGCGTACTTCTTGCCTCGTTCAGTCACCTCTTTCCGGATTTGCCCCGGGTTCGGCGCATATTCCAGAGGATATACGATGAGATCCTGGATTCTTCTCGCGCCATCGTACTGGTCGATCTCCAAGTCGGAGTGGAGATCGGGTCGGCTGGCTATGCCAAGATCTTTGGTATATCCGAATTTGAGCCCGTCGTCTGCGATCATGTCGCACATGACATGCCAGTAGGGTGTGCCATCTTTTCGGAAACGCTGTCGGATACGACGCATCAATAATACCTGAGGTTGTTCGGTGTATTGGTGGAAATGGTACATCATGCAATTGGGCGTAAATAGAGCCCAGAGTAGTGACCACGTGACCTCGTTGGCGGGCAGCATATTTCCCAAGCTGGCGATGCTGCTTCCGTGCTGCTCTTCAACGTACTGCAGGGCAACAGAGAGGTCAGCGACGAGGGATAAATCCGCAGATTCGTTTTTTTCTTCGAGTGATAGCCGGTCTTTCAGGGCGAATCGAGAATGGAAGAAGAGGCTTGGATCAGCCTAGATGTTCCGCAGAAATATTAGCAAAGTAAGGAGATTCTACTTCAGTAGGTACAGTAGCCTAGAAAGCCAGCTTTCGATTCTCCAAAACATAGAAGTTGTTGGATTGAATGGACGATCCTGGTGCATTTGCTACCCTACTTGCATGTATTGCAAGTTCCCGTGTCGATAGCTGCAGCATTCCATGACGGCTGACAGGCAACTTGCCCGGAGAAGTGGCAATCCAGCTCGTCAAGATACAGAGTGACTTACAAATGGAGGCTCCTTCAGGAGCGATAGACCCTCCACATCTTTGTTCATCTCGATAAGAACATCACGTAGGGCTGGGCTTTTGACATCGACCTCGGTGTGGGTATGCTGGCCTTTGTGGTTGATAATGCGTCTTTCGACCAAGACGGGCTTCTTCCTGTCGAGCTTCTTGTCTGGTTTGCCGGACTTGACAAGCTTTGTGGTGTATGTGCGCCTGATGGGGTCAGTATTGGGGGCACGATTTCCTGGCAAAGTCTCCAGAGAAGCTTACAAATCGAATCTATGAAGCAAGATGTCAGTAGAATTCCAGGGACGTGTAACCCGAATCGCGAGCGAACCAGACTCACACTTCGGCGTATCGCAAGATGCGGTTTGGAACTGGCTTCCCTGACTCTGCCTTGTCCTTCTCATCTTCCTTCACACTTGTCACACTCACTTGCACCTCTTTCTTGACATCCTTTTCGCCGCCGTCGACTGCGATCTCACCCATGGCTGCAAAGCGGGATTGCCCTTCTCTCGTGTCGAGTTATTCGCGGAAGGCCCCCTCGGGTGCTAGGCTCTGAGCGACAATATTGTCGCTCTTCTTAGCAGTCGGACACTGGAGCAATATTGGGAGAGTATGGAAGCTTTGGACGGCGAACGATGTTAAAGTATATCAGCTGGGAAAAGCCAATGCGAGCTTATGCGCAGACCCTTACCGACCGTGTGGCTGAGGTCCGCCGTCCGCCGTTAATATCATTCAGCTGGCGAGTTACTCCCGAGGTGCGCTTGCTTTTTTCCGCTGCTCAGCTGCGGCTCGCGCGCAGCTTATATGTCTAGATGGAGTTAGAACGGCTTTTAAAATATTGACTATCAGGCGACCAATATAAAGTAGGCCAATATAGAGGCGCTTGAGCGTTCACTAAACATGGCGGTGTCGTGCTTAGCTGAGTGTTTGCCTACAAATAAAGTTTGCTCAGCCCCCGGCGGATTTTGCCCTTCTGACCAATCAGCACGCCCGGTCGAAATATCAAATGCCCACTTACTTTCCAGTTTATCTCAGCTCGTTGCCTTGACACTAGAAGAATAACCTCACCGCTGCTTCTGTGTGGCTTGTCACCCGTAACTCGCCCAATATGAGTATCAAGCTCGCTTCCACACTGCCCAAGCCGAATGGAAAGAAATATATTTGAGTAACCCTTGGTGCTCTTCAAGAAGGCTATCTGAGGACTGCTTCAACATTTTCCCCGTAACAGTCCAATAGCTACCAAGCATGGGTGCCACGAAAGAGCTAAGGTATCCGGCTCACTTCCTTGAAGAGGCAATCGATTATACTAATCAGTCAAACGGTAGGACCCCATCGGGTTTCGAGCATGCTTTTTACGAGTACATTCGCAATCTACCGGAAAAGAAGAGCAAGAGGTCAATACTGGCTCGTCTTGATCTCAATAACCCACCAACGCCGGAAGACATACAGGAATCTCTTCGCCAAATAGAGACGAGACATGCCCAGAAGCCGTCCATAAAAATCATGAAGAGAGTTCTAGGCCCGGTTGTCGCGGTACTGAAGGACTATTACGGCGTCGTCGACACCCTGTCGCAGGCCGATCCGACACCGGGATGCGTCCTCTGGGGTGTTTTGAAGGTCGCGATCGATGGTTTGAGTCGCTTCATTGACCTCATCGACAAGATCAAGGCCGAAGTGCTGTCCCTATCAGCGCAGCTGCGGCGATTAACTTTATACGATGAGCTCTACGGCCAGTCTCTGGACATGCAGGAGCTCTTGTTCAGCTCGTATAAGAATGTCTTCAGGTTCTGGTCCAGAGTGGATAAGGAGTGCAGCCGGTGCGGTCTCAATGCCTTGTTGCGAGCATCTACATCTTTCAGTATAAAGAAATTGCAGGACATTGTCGATGACTTGAAAGAGGATGCCGACCAGATTGACAAGGTTGCGGCGATAATAGAAGGGCAGTACGCCGGGACAGAACGCATGGAGGCTAGCCTTGAGAGATGCGAAAATAGAAAAGAGCGAGATGATGGGTCTGCTTGGAGAAGGCAAATGCAGAGTGACCGCATTCGGTCCTGGCTTGGCGGTCAAACCATCAACGAATCCACCTTACATAGGCACCGCAATAACCTCGATGTCAACCGGCACGCAACCGGATCTCCGACATGTGAGTGGCTCTTCGAGGACTCGCACTTCCAAGACTGGGTCAAAGGGACATCTTCTAAGCCAATTCTTTGGCTATTTGCCGGGCCTGGTTCCGGCAAGAGCGTGTTGTGTTCCCATGCCATCGAATACGTAAGAAATCTGGGCGACACCCAAGCTCAGTGTCTTCATTTCTATGAATTCGACAACGAGCATACAGCCATCGTCACCGCCCGAAACCTGGCCACTCAACTTTTCGAACGTTACTGGCTCCTGAATCAAGATGTTCCGGAAGATTTACAAATAACGTCCCAAAAGAGTAGTGCCGATTTGATCAACGTGTTCGAGTTCATGCGGATTCTCGTTGGTAAGCTCCCTAAAGTCTACATCTTCCTCGATGGCCTAGATGAGGAGTGCACTGTGGCTAGATGGAAAGAAGCTAGTAAGATCGTGGAGTTTGTCAATCTTTTAGCGGAGACTTCGGCAAAGACCGTACGAGTCTGGTATAGTTCCCAAGACAGGCCTATCATCCGGCAATACCTAGAGAGTCATCTGGTTCTGAATGTTAAAGAGCAAATCAGGGTCGCAGTCGACGAGCACATTTCCCTAAAGGTACCAGGAATCTGCAATCCCGAGGTAGACCAGGATACCCGAACGTGGATACTGAGCGAGCTGAAGCAACGTGCCGATGGAAATTTCCTTTGGGCAACTCTGATGCTGAAGACCATCGAGAACGAGGTGAGCAGCTTCGACGAGATGGAGCTGTTCATCAAGGAAGGTCTGCCAAAAGATCTCGATGCGTACTACAGACGTATCATTGCTCGATATGAAAAGCGGGAGCGGGAGCTGGCCAGGTTAGACTCTTTTTCTGTTTGGGTTTTCTCTCAACGTGCTTACTAGTTTAGCAAAATCTTCTCCTTGATTACGTTCGCTAGGCGGCGTCTTCGGTTGACCGAATTAAGAGAAGCTATCGGCATAATTTCTTCAGAGAATCCTAGGTCATTGCAGAATCGCAACATTCCCTGGCGACAAGCTGTCGAGAAGATTTTTGCACCACTCATTGAAACGCAATCAGACCCTGAGAACCAAGGAGAGCGTTTCTGCTTTCTCTTCCACAGCACAGTCAGGGACTTCCTGATACGCAATCAGAGCATCTTCCAGCAAGAATCGCCAAGCCCCACCATACACTCAATATCTGAGCTCACAATCGCTAACGCATGTCTTCTCTACTTATCGCAGAACAAATATGCGCAACTTCTGACGAGAGATGCGGGACAATGGTTGACGACCTTCAAAGATAACATAAAAGACCATCATCTGGTTACCTATTCCGCGAAGTACTGGGACAAGCATTTTGACCACGTCGAAGAGACACCGGAGCTTCGTCAAAAGATTGAAGACTTCCTCACATCCTCGAACTTCCAATCGACGATCCAACTTCAAAGCCTTTTCGTCCAGGGCCATTTTGACCTCTATACTACCAGTTGCTGCTCTCCCAATCACAAGTTCACCAAGCGTGTCTTCCCAAAATGGTTCGCAAGCCACGACTCGGACGGCTACTCCCAGTTCGCCAAGAACTATCGAAGCTACATAAGCGAATGGCACAATCTGCTCGACTGCGCAAATTGCGAGGAACCGCGCTGCTACCCTCATTCGGCCGTAAAGCAGCTTGCAGGGGAGCTCGACCGCTGTCTATGGGGCGCACTAGGTCCTCGAAACTTCCTCTCGCGGAACTCTGGCCGGTACACCAGCTTCATGTTGTGCGATGAAGGCGACGGTGGATCAGGAAAAATGCCATATCATGAGGCCATATCTCAGAATGGTAGCAAACTTGTTGTATTCCAGCCGTCAGGTGAACCCGCAGATGCAGCAGACTTCACCTTCCATCACAAGACTTGGAACTTGCCTGACCGAGAAGTACCCGCACTACTCGAAGTTAATACCACTATCTCAGCAAGCCTCGATCAAAAAAGGTGGGCCGATGCTGACTTAAAATCAATATCCTTCACCCCCGACCTTCATTTTCTGCGGATCGGATCTCAGATGTTTTCTGTGAACAGCGGAGGCGAGTACCACGCAATTGATGGCTTGGACATAGTATTTGAACATCCAAATGCCTGCTTTGAAGACATCACAAGCCGAGATTCGCTTCTAATTGTAGCGTCAAGACGAAAGATGCCAGCGAGCACGGAACCTCGTGGTCGTGCGGCGGCTAAAGCGGACCAACCGACGGTGAAAGCACTCGAAAGTACAGGCAACCCACTCACAGACAAGAGTTTTGGCAAGGATCTGAGCGCCACACAGTGCCGGCATTGCTCGCGCGAACCTTCTAAAAGCAACCACGCTTCGGACACCTCTCCTGCGAAAGGAAAAGATTCCAGCGAAAAGGAAGAGAATGACAGTGACTCGTCCAATTCTTCGGAAGAGATATCAGAATGGAATTCGGCCGAAGAGAGCTGGAGCGAGGGATCTACCGAGATCGATGGGCTAGGCAACCCCTTGACCTCATCAGATGAGTCTAGCTCCAATTCCAGCGAAGCGGATGTAGACACCGACGAGGAAAGTGAGACCCCAAAAGATGACGCCGCTTCTGACACTGCTGTCAATAGCTATGGTCAATTATACGATGAATCCGACAGCGACGGTGGAGACGTTGATTTTGACTGCGGATCTGAAGAAGAGTCTTATGACGGAGATTATGAATCTGACTGGAGCAGCGACAACAATCAGGAGGAAGACCTTCACTTTGATAGCGATGACGAAGAGAGGCTAGTCAGGCGTATGGCGTATTCGAGACAGGATAGGAAACGTGATGCCAAGGTACAACAAGGCGTACTCACAGTTTATGACCTTGCTACCGCTCCACCAACCCAGATTTTCACCTTTACGCATCAGCTGCCTGTCATGCTCTACGATTCTCCGCCGGCGATCCATCCGAAAAAGCCGCTCGTGGTATGGCCGCTCTATGGAGGCGATGTTCTATTCGCAGACTTTGAGGGCAAGTCTTACTTCATCAGGAGAGCCAGAACCACAACGCGCAAAAGTAGGCCTTCCTATTCTCTCGTACCTTATGAAAGCCCGAGCTTCAATGGACGTGCTTACTGACTTATTCATCAAGCCCGCCACGTCTTTATGAAATTCCACTTCTCCCCCTGTTGCAAATACCTGCACATCGCCTCCCTTGAAGCGCAACAAATGAAGCAATCCAGATCTGAAATAAAAGCTGGCACCAAACCGCATCTGGCCCTATCCGCCTTTATCTCCACCCACCGACTTTCAACCCGGAAAACAACCCGAAGCCCGCCAACCCTCATCCACCGCGTCAAGACCGTTCTTGGAAGCACCACCTCTCTCTGCCCTAC